CAGAAAGTATTGGAGAAACCATGATAATTATTGATTCTTCAATTAACATACCTGGACCATCGAATACAAGTGTATATTCCTGTAGTATACAACAAAAACCTTCTCAAAAAGGTAACATTTTAACATATTTGTAATATATTGTTAAGATATAATAGATATGATATATAATATGTATATAGATATATATAATAGATATAATAGATATGTAGGATATTTGGCATTAATATAATTGGGAAACATATAGAATAAGCCGATTTTTTTATATAAATATTTAAATCTAATTTTTATTAATAGCTACATTTTTTAATTACATTTATTTAAAAATTATCGTAGTAATTAATAATAAATTTAGAATTTATGTAACGTTGAAATAATTTATTGTACTTATTTTTTGTAAGAACAATATAGAAATAAAGAACTAATTTTTATTGCACGCGATTATATTATTATTTCTACTAAATATGATTTATTTAACAAAATTTTTATGACAGAATTTTTTTAATAACTTATTTATTTTTTTGCAGATGTGAATATGGATAGGTTTAATGCAAATTGTAACACAAGTATAGATAAACAGACATTCAATACCGCTGATCATTGTACATGCTGCCCTAAACGTAAAAACTATAGTACATATAATACAATACATTTAACGCTTCTAATTATATTCTTTTTATACATTTTAATTAATTGCTTTTATATTGTAAACAGTTTTACTTGTGTTTATATTACGGTTTTTATATTATTCTTTTAGATGAAACATTCCGGAAGATCTTTAAAGAATTATTTTTACTACGAGAATTTACAAAAGAATGCTGCGAGGATGTAAAAGTTACATTTCTCCAAAAATGTAATGCAGCTACAATAGACGGGGGTGAGCCCACATTTTTAAGCACTTTCCATTTTCCCTTGCAAAGTGTTGAAGATTTGAACGAAGTGGAACAATATCTCGAACAACCGAATCGTTTTCAATCCACTATATGTTTTTTGTTTCCTTTTTTTAAATAAACGTTCTTTAATATCGTAATTATTAATTACATATAATTTTTTTCAGGTAAAAGAATTTTCAAAAATGGGTGGAACTACTCCGTACGATTTTGTTAAGCGATGCTTGTCGCTTCTTTTATCTAACAGATTAGCTGAACAATATTCATGGCACGGTGCTAAAAAGAAGCAAATATTTGGAAAACTTTCTCTTGCAAATGTATTGCAAGGTAAATTATCATCTAAAAATCTAATGTTAATATAAAGCATGAAAAAACATGAATTGACAATACAATAATTTGTATTTATATTTAATTTTTTATTTTTATTTATAGAAAGTGCTCTTCAGTGTAAAGCAG